CTGTTAATAAATAATACACAGGATCCAATTAAACAACCCCAACTTTACGGGGGTGTCATAAATGTATAAATTAAATGATATAATATTTATATGGCTATATGCATCATTATATTAGATTGCATTAAATCACCACTGCATATGTGGATTTTGAAAATAAACAGATGAAAATTGAACAATGTATCGTTAGACTAAATATAAATGCTGCACAAACATGTACCCACCATTATTGATAGACTTTATCAAGGAAACAATAACAGCTCTCAAATTATTATAATATTCCTTATTTCCCTGATTATTCAAATGGACCCCATCCGCCAGAAATACCATCCTATGATAAACCAGATAGGCGAAAGAATGCTGCTCCCTCTACATTCTGCAAGTAATAGGACATGCGTCTATTTAATTCATCAACTCTCTTGCACTCTGTGTCCACATGAAACCTGATACGTCTTGTCGGGGGAATTCTATGTAATGTCTGAAGCACCACTGCTTTTTTCACATCTTCCACATCACGGAGTTAAATTACAAAGTCCGCAAGTTCATGAAAAATGTCTTCCACTGATGTGTTTCTCCGACACAAATCGTTTGATACAGCTTGTAACAAAACAACATCTGGATGCAAGTATCTTACGTAACGAGTGCCTTGCGCACGAATTTGAGCCAGTGACGCTCCCCCATAACCTAAATAGAAAATCTGTAGCTCCTCTGAATTAAGATTTAAATTCGGCGTCACCCGATGGTCAGAACTAGTTGATACAAACAAAGTTCTCAAATCTGCGTATGAATGAATGCCCCAGAATAAGGACTTTCAATGTCATTCTATCCACAGCATCAGCGCATGATGTACAGTCACAGATACCACAAAGTGCAACGATTATAAATTCAAGCCTTTATAATTAGGGGCATCATGTTATTGTTCGCATAAATTACTTACAGTGTCTATAAACCGTATCCTTGGAACAGAATAATGCACAAAAATGGAAATAATTTTGCTGAACGGTGGGTCAAAACATTTTCCTTCCAAAGTGTGCAGACTAGAGATGAAATTTTGCAACATGTCTGCCCTTCTAGCTTTTTCGGTAGACTATGAAAATCGGGGTCATAAGGTGCTTGATTATATTGCGTCCTCTATTTAAAACTCATGGTCTCAATAATGTTTAACCACTGCCAAGAACGCTCGAGTTATCGCTCTTGCACTGGTATTAAAAGCATTTATCACAATATGGTGATAAATGCAATTAAAAGAAAATCATTATAAACAGAGATACATAACAAAGAACTAGTAAATGTTTTACGAAATACCCATCTTTAGTTCTCCAACAATTTTAACTGATGTGATTGAGAAACTTCAAAAGCACCTGTGCTTCAGCATGTTTAAGAAGAAGTGTTTAAAATCAAATTTGGTTTTTTATGAACTTCAAAGTTTGAATTTGAAAAAGTTCCAAAATAAGTAGCATAAAACATATATCTTTTTAACTTTTGATTTAACCTTTCCTTCAAACATTTCTACATCATAAACAAAATCTTATTTAATAATAATGGAATTCTGAAGTATTCATATACTGTGATTGTTCAACTAAAAATACTTTGCTAAAAACAATCTGATTCTATACACAGGTACTCTGTACAATTCAGAGACAGAGTGCCTCATTGAAAATGTCCTTCCACTTCTTCAACCAATCTGCTAGAATTCGCATAGGCACAAATGCGCTTCTTTATCAGCTCCTTTTTAGCCGATCTGTTTTTGCATTCTTTTGAAGGGAATTTTGTTCATAGCTGTCTGCATGAGAAGATTAATAAAACTCTTCCTATGCGTTTCAATTCGACATTTAATCAATGAGCAATAGTCATTTTTATTCCTATATCAAATTGATATATCCCAAATGGTCTCAAAATAAACCGCAGAATCTGACAAATCCATTTCGTATTTCTATATTTAATAGATATAGAGATAAACAGTTTATCTAAAACAAAACAAACACACACACACACACACACACACACACACACACACACAAAACAAAGACAAAAACAAAAACAAAAACAAGAAAAAAAAGGAAAGGAAAATGCTTCGATAATTCCTAATCTTTTTTGGATTGGGAAGGTACATGTATTACATAAATTTAGTTTAATTTTTCTGTTGTTAATTAAATTGTTAATTCATGTATCAGCAAATAATGAAGATTTTGCATTTTTAGCTTTTTCATTGAATTTTGAATTACGGTTCATGAATTGAGTGATAGGAGAATACTTTGACTATAAAATTCAAGAGCACAGGGTTGCCCAGGTTGCATACTTACTTATGTTGTAATAATACCATTTATAGCTATATATCATATCAAGACAGACTTGCGCTAGAAATTTTTAAATGAAAATATGTGTCACATTAAAATCTACATGTTCCTAATCGAACGCGAGATGACACATCAACTTTAGAACGCAAGTTTTCTTAATATTGGTATATATAGATACGTAATTAAACTCCAGAAAATGAATAGAAACATGGAAATAATAACAAAAATAAAACATTTTAAATTTTTTATGCCGTATCTGTTACTTGGATTAAAAACTTCGACCGATAACGTCATTCAACAAATACACATGTAACTTAAATAAACAATTTGAAGACATTGAACATTTAACCATTATAAGTACTACGATTATGAATTTTATCATAAAAAGAAACAAAAACACATTTAAGATGTGAATAATTTTATTTAAAAATTGTGAAGAAATAATTACTGATAAACTATTGAAAAGCCGATGAAAAGGTCGTTGAATTACGAGTGAAAGGTCACTGAAAGATGACGGAAAGGTCACTGAAAGACAACGGGAAGGTCACTGAAGGGCGACTGAAAGACGACGGAAAGGTCACTGAAAGATAATCCGTAGAAACGTGTCCGCTGAATGGGACTGAAAGGTACATGAATAGTGGCTGAAAAGTAACTAAAAGGTCACTGAAATGTACCTGCCATTCAGTGACTGAATGGCCACTGTAAAGTCACTGAAAGCTGCCTTTCAGTTTTAGCTGAAAAGTCTTGTATCTTCCTGTGATATGAATAATTTCAGGCACGAGACAGGCTTTTGACAAATAAGTTGATGATACAAAGATATCAAAGATCTGGTTAACCCCAGACTACATAAAAAACAACTGTAATTTTGTCGTTTGTAAATATCCATCTCTTATATTTGGCATTTAATACTGGCTCCAAGCAAATTATTTAATCATACATTTGTTCAGAGGGGGCCAACTCAATTGGTGTTCGGCACACCTCCAATCAAAGAAACATTCACTGCATGAAAATTTGGCTTTACAAAACAAGTAAAGATAATGTAAATTTATTATTTACAATGCCTTTAATTGGCTTTTCTGAAAGAAGTCAAAGTTGGAAAAGGTAACCTTTACATTAACTTTACATGCACTTAAATATGATGTAATGTCCCACTTTTTCTTGACTTTACAAAAAAGTAAAGTTAATATTTACAAACATTAAACACAGTATTTGGGGTTCATTAAAGCTGATAATTACAAATCTTAAATTTAATTAAATACCATCTTTAATAGCCACAAAAGTTAATAATTACTTTTTCCATTCTTCTGAATAAAGCTTGTGCATATAATAAATAAGCTTTTCCTTCCAAATTGAAACTGCAAAAGAAGTCTGGACATCATACTTAATATACAAAGTAACAACAGATTGACTTAAACTTTCTTTATTACTATACCAAACATTTTTATACAAACATATAATCAAAAACATCAAATTTCTTGACAGTATCTGTTGTTCATAGTCTATCCTGCAAATCCAATACACATAAATAAGTATCCAGGACAGAGTACATTTCACCAAAATCCTTTTCAAACATGTCATTTTGTTTCGTATAAAGAACCAATTGTTCATCCTTGAATTTAAAGATTTGAATTGACATGAAACTGTGCTCTGCTTTCTTGTTACTGAACATGCATTTCTGTGGAAATCAACAACTGTCCAGATATATATTGTGTCACACCTTCCTTTTCAGAGTCCAAAACTTTTATTCTCATGCAGGCAGTCTTCTATTGTTTTCCTTCAAAGAAAAATATATATATATATATATTATGAGTGACATGAATATGAATGTTTTCATAGGCATATGTGTTATAAATTCAAATAAACTGTGATATCAGTATTCACAGTATCATGACTAATGAAAATTGAAACAAGATGCAACCATATTAATAAATAAAAATTTCATACATGACCTTTAACCTCAAAAAGAAAATATTTTGAACCATTAATGTCAGCCTTTATTTTTACCAAAAAAACGATGCTAATCTTATTAAATAAGACAGATACAAACAGATGAACATGTTGTTGTTAACTTATTTTATAATATAAATGGACTGGGCCACTAGCCTTTATCTTACCCCTAAGATTAAAATTTAATAACTCTGTAATTTCTTTGTTTATCATTACCTAATATTTCTTTTGAAAGGATTATTTACAAAATATACTAATGTAGGAGTAATACATGTATAAGATTTCTTGTGACCTTCTGTAGCTAAGATACTTTTGCAGAATTGGAAAATGTTTGTCTTACTTGCAAGATAATTTGTGAAAAAGTACTGGCATCAGTATCTATGGATAATTACTGAACACATATAATAAACTCCATTTTCCTTCTTAGTAATCAGGTAACAAAAGGACCAATAGTTGCTGCTTATCGAGCTATAGTATGATACTCTAGTTATGGTTTAGGATATATGTACCTTTCTCCAAGTAGCATGTTGCTGCTCATGAATTATTTCCTGATCTTGGAATTGTAAAAGTTGACAGGTCCCTCATTTTGAAGATAACATGCTAAAATGGAATTCATACTTTGATAAACATTTCATACATCTGGATAAATATAGTCAATGTTTTCATAAATACTTTGGAGTTTGAAGCATACCAAAGAATGATTTTAAAAATACACAATGCAATCACAGTTAATAATTATGAATTGCCAAACACCCTTATGTTTGTTTTCTTCACAATTAAAGAATACTTTAGGTCTAAGCAATACTTGCCATCTATAAAATTAAACTATTGAACCCTTCTCAAGTGTTTCTTCTTCTTGAAAGATCTGTCAATAAGGTGTTAACTCTCTCACAGTAAGCTGAGTAGGTGGAGCCTGGAAAAAGTAGTAACACATTTTTTGAAAACAGAAATGTATAATTATACTGACTCCCGAACAAGTCAAGCAATTGATAATGTAAATAATTGTTTAAGTAACATTTTAATGATACCATTTATTGATTTTTTTAAAACTAATACGTACAAGTACCGTCAAAAAACATTGGTATCCCTTGGTCTGGTAAATCATACATTGTTGTCATCCATGACTTTTTTCCTTCAAGAAACTGCATAATTGATTTCACTAGAACCTGTTTTTGAAAAATGGACATGGTTTAGAATACAAAATAATATCTATAAAATATAACCTAACTTGCCCTCTATTAAGAACATTGCCCCTACCCTGGCTTCTATTTTTTTTTTCTAGCATTAATGTAAACAGATAAACATCCTAAAACTGTGACCTAGAATTGTTTTTTCTTTGTCTTGTTTAACCCATGATCCTTTACAGAAAAAAATGGAACATTATCCCCAATTTATCAAGTTACTTATCTAAAATACATATTTAGCGTAGTTTTTCCTGACTTTCGTCAGTTTCCATGTTCCACAATGTATGCTGAAAACAGATGGAAAACGTAAACAAACCTGCACTGCAGTGCATGCCAATTGCCAGCCCGGGAGCTCGAGCAGTTTTCCAAGCAATAACCTCCTTAAATCTACCGGTAGATGAAAAGGTATTAAATCAACTGATCACTGGTTGCATATTTTCGTCAAAAATACCAGAAAATTCGATGAGACCCGCTCAACTTGATTTGAAATGATTGGCTATTCAACCGAATACACAGTGCCATATTTGGGTTACTGTTAAAACTAAATCGTTCGTTTTGTATTCGAGAAGACTTGAATGAAGAGGATTACACAATACTGAGGTGGAAAACATCGGTATAATATGATAATATATATTTCAGTATTTTAAAGTAAAGTTTGTCAAATGAACGGGACATATTACTGATATTACCTCTTATAAACAAAACCAATAAGCGTATGACTTATTCAGGGCACTTGCAATGTATGGGAACCAGTCTACAAGGCCACAAAATTCCGCCAAGAATAAACAAAGAAATTGCGGGATGTTGTTTACGTGTGTCACTCGACACTGACTGCAAGGTAATGAAAATGTGCTTAATTGTTGTGTATAACTGTTTTCTGTCTTTCAAGATATTGAACAACAGTCGTTTAACATTTCAGACGTAACATCTGGGGGGGGGGGGGGGGGAGGGGTCACCTCTTAATTTATTGCATCTACTACCACTGTGTATAGTGTCAAGATATAATAAATTAAAATGAAAAAAATCATTAATTTTTTTTTTATATAGATTTAGGACAGCTAAATAAAGGGGCGACTTTTTTTTGTTTGATGCGGGGGGGGGGGGTGTTAAAAATATATTAACCTCAAAAATGTTTAAAAGATATAATCTCATCTCAACTGAAAAAATGATTAATAATCTTTCCTTGTCTGATGCCATTATTTCCTTTACCTCACTGAATTAAGAGTTTCTGAGTCAGTTTATTTCCTTTTGTAGTGGAGATGGGGGGGGGGGGATCAAACTTTGTTCATTTGAGATAAACATGAATAATATGTCCCTGATTATTAAGGAAATCAAATATTCTATTCATCACTGGTTGGAAAATAATTAATCTGATTTAACAGTCAAAAAATTACCTTTTCATAATTTATCTTTTGTAGAAACAAAGAGTGGAGAGCTAATGCATGGTGCGAAGTGTGGAAAGGTCTCTTGTGGATTGGTTGTGCCAGAGACAAATGTACATTATTTCTATGTTGGGTAATGTCCTTAAGAATGGAAGTTTTTTTCAATTACAAGAAACGTGACTTTTTCACATGTTATCACTGTACAGAGATCAAAATATTTTTAAACATTGTTAGGTACTCACCACATTATTCCATCTTTAGAAAAGTATTTAAAATTATTTTCTCACATTTTTTAAAGAGACCAATATTGTAAAGAGATTTTTTTTTATTTTAATCTTGAATTTGGATATTATACAGGTCAGAAGTTTCGGTACACTTTGGGTGAGTGGCAGTTGGGAAGATGGATGACCTTCAGATAGTTTGAGATAAAGAAGTTTTTTTAAATGATTGAAAGTGATCATCACAGAATCAACTCCATTATGAAGATAAATTACGAGCAAGTCAGGTGAGGAATTGACTTCAATGTGTTTTCACATTGTGTAAATGAATCTTCATTATTAAGATCTTTTACATTTCATTTTTATATATGAACTTGCTTTTCTATTATTCTAAAATTCCAAAAATAAAATTAAAGTAGTTAAAGCATGCTACAAACATATTAAGTATCTTGGCAAGTTTTCAGGGATATTGCAGATGTGCTTTAATTTAAAAAGATAACTAATTTATGCAAAGCTGGAAAAGAAATGGATATTATTATCTCTAATTTCGAAGATTATGTTTATTATTAGCACTCCTTTTGTCCAACACCCGAGAGATCTGAGTATCCATCCTACTGTTGAATTAACTGGTGACCAAGAAAAGATGACAGAGAGGGGAATCAAATATGGATGCCATCGTGATCAAGAATATACACACTGACTAGAAAATATCTGAAAATTTATAGACGAACATTCAAGCATTTATAATAATGAAAGTTATTCAGCAAGAGAGTTTTTGCACAAGTTTAATTTCAGTAAAATTGTGTATATTGTGCACAGAGGAACTTAGTATGTAACTCATTATGATTATCCATTTCTTTAGAGGATGTATTCGGAGTATATTTAAATAATCATTATCTTGTAGAAAAGAGCACACAAAACTTTTCTCTCTGTGTGAAGCAAGACACATATGCATACACTCCAGCATTAACCACAACCAATGTTACATATTTTCCAGGGCATGTGAAGTCGAGCACACACAACATCTACCACAACACCAGTTACATATTTTCCAAGGCGTGTGAAGTCGAGCACATACATGAAAATGTGTGAAGCTGGACACATATGCAAACACACAAGCAACCACCACAACCAATTACATATTTTCCAAGGCGTGTGAAGTCGAGCACATACATGAAAATGTGTGAAGCTGGACACATATGCAAACACACAAGCATCTACCACAACCAATTACATATTTTCCAAGGCGTGTGAAGTCGAGCACATACATGAAAATGTGTGAAGCTGGACACATATGCAAACATACAAGCATCTACCACAACCAATTACATATTTTCCACGGCGTGTGAAGTCGAGCACATACATGAAAATGTGTGAAGCTGGACACATATGCAAACACACAAGCATCTACCACAACCAATTACATATTTTCCAAGGCGTGTGAAGTCGAGCACATACATGAAAATGTGTGAAGCTGGACACATATGCAAACATACAAGCATCTACCACAACCAATTACATATTTTCCAAGGCGTGTGAAGTCGAGCACATACATGAAAATGTGTGAAGCTGGACACATATGCAAACATACAACATGTACCACAACACAGTTACATATTTTCCAAGGCGTGTGAAGTCGAGCACATACATGAAAATGTGTGAAGCTGGACACATATGCAAACACACAAGCATCCACCACAACCAATTACATATTTTCCAAGGCGTGTGAAGTCGAGCACATACATGAAAATGTGTGAAGCTGGACACATATGCAAACATACAACATGTGCCACAACACCAGTTACATATTTTCCAAGGCGTGTGAAGTCGAGCACATACATGAAAATGTGTGAAGCTGGACACATAGGCAAGCACTCAAGCATCTACCACAACCAGTTACATATTTTCCAAGGCGTGTGAAGATGGACACAATGCAAACATAATCTCCTACCACAGACACAATGCACATATAACATTTAATCCAAAATATAAAGTCAAGCTCATACCGGCTCACTGCGTGAAGCTGGACACATGCATTTACTTATGCATCTTGCAAAACTACCTCTGAAGCTATATTCTAATAGATGTTAAAGCAATTTTGTTTCTTTATTTTGTGAATATGTAAATTACACCATTATGCTTACAAGATGTCAACATTATTAACCTGTACATAAATACTCATTAGATAGCCTTTAATAGTTTAAATTGGAAATACTAGTACTTTGCCATATTTATGTTGCGTAGTTTCTCATCAGTGATCTTGAGTAATAACTGAGTAAGGCATTTTTAGTTCCATTTAAACTGTGAAGTTTTGACACATGTACATGCACCATAAAGGATGAATAATATTGTATTGTATTTTAACCTTTTTTATTTTATTCTTTGTCATTTTATTGCCTGTTCTAGTAAAAGATGTAATCTTGTAATGTTTGTAACTGTTTTTGGTAGATATTTATAAAGCAGAAATTATAACAGAAAAGGTTCCAATATATCTAAACTAAAAGCAAATAAAAAAGAGCTCTCCATCTATCAGTTACCAGCAAATCAGATAACTTAAAGGTTAAGTCATAGGAAATTTGAAAGTTTATTATATCTATATTCTGATATCTGATACCATTTTTACATTTTTGATTGTCCGTCTACAGTATACAAAAATAGTATAAAGAAACTGGGGGGATAAGCCGAGCCATATGCCTACATAACGATCGATAAAAAATCAATAAATTCATTTTACAAAAATTTCACTTTTTGTTGAATTAATGTAATGCTTATTACCATTTGCATATAAATTTGACAAAACCTGAATACTGTAACAGCGAAAATGATTCTGATTAACACAACAAAATGGCATCACGCTCAATTTTCACAGAAACTGACATAAATTGGATGATATAACTACATTTTTTAAATAGAGTGGGTCATCGTACCATGTTTTTTAAAACGATTAATGAAAGGCAATGGAAAGATGTTGCTTTTTACACTTGCAAAAATTTGGTATGAAGACCCACTCTACATAAAAAATTAAGTTAACTTGCTTAAATTTTCACCGTGGTCTTAAAAAATTCTAAGTCCAAAAACGCTTGCTAAATATAGAGAACTGTATGCTATTTAAAAGGAAATGTTGGTGTGACTCCGTGGTCTAGTGGTTAGCGATGAGCTCTGTAAAGGGACGTTTATTGAGGAAAGTGTTCGAGTCATGCTCTGATTTTTTTTTTATTATTATTATTTTTTTGGTTTTAATTTTGTTTTACTTTATAAAAAATGTCTATAGGAATAACATATTTTTCACTGGAAAAAAAATATTTACATGTAGTAATGAACTTATTTACAGTAAATTATTTAAAATGCCGGATAAAAATTATAATAGATATTTGAATACTTTTATTCCCGTTTTATTTATTTTAGATAAAACCGCTTCTAGATCACCATTATCATTATATACGATGTTAACATTTTCATAATATCTCCACAATAAGTGTAAACACTCAATATGCAGATTAATTAATAGAAGTCCTTACCCATGTTAGACATTTGTGACAGTAATGAAAGTCAACTGTTTAGCTTGTTTAGAATATAAATATCATTTTGAAAACTACGGTAAACATTAAAATGCTTAAGTAAATTCGAACAATTGAGAGATTTTTTCCAATAAATGTTCTTGCCTAGCCGAAAAATGGGCATGGGCACATGGCTCGTCTTATCCCCCCAGATTCTTTTTACATTTTTTAGATGACAATCTCTAATACTAAATACAACTGGAAATTGATATAACGCTTGAAAATTTTTGTATTTTTAGTAAGATCGATTTTAACAAAATGGGGGGGGGGGGGGGGGGGTAACACAATAGACACATCAGATACCTATTTATTAAAAGTCAAAAACCAT